TCTTGTAATCTGCAAGTCTAAAATTATAAATAAAAATAACGTGTGAGGACCGCCTGTTCCTTCAAAAAAAAAAAAAAAAAAATTAATGACTTGCCAATTATAACATTTACTAAATATCATGTGATATATCAGTATTTAAATTGTTATAATAAAATCTATAAAGTAAAAAATTCTACTTTTAAGAAAATTTTTAAATCAATTTATTGTTTTAATTTTTCATTTTTTAAAATAAACTTAACTATTTTCTTGATATTTTTAATATTATTGTTAATTATTATAATTTTATTACACAAAACTTTAAGTAGGTATTCACAGCTACTTGATTTAGAATTTCTTTTCTAATATAAATTATATACTGTACTTATTGCAAACAATTAATATTTAACTTGTTACTTCTTAAATATTAGAAATATTATTTCTTTATATATGTATCACCTTGATATACATGTATATGAATAAATAAAGAAATTGTACTGTATTTACCTACTTTAAAAAAAAACAGTTCTTTCTCTTAAATAAAAAAATTTGAAGTATAATTTATATATATGTTTTTAAAGAATCTAGAATTTACTACGTACAGTATCTCGTCTTATTGACTATTTGCGAAGGCGAGATCCGGAGCTTATATAAGCGACTTCAAGATCTTAAGTAATGAAAGAAGTTCCGTTCTTGCTTAAGCAAACAAGATCTCAAAGATTGTGGGTTTAAAGTTGGACCGGCAACAGTTCTTATAGATTTTATCAAAGATTAACAGAACAAAATTAAAAATTTTCTCGTCATATAAAACGTTGGAAGAACTGGGAGACGTGCTTTTATAGTTTTCACAGAAATCAATGACGACAACAAAGCACATAACATTGAGACTTTTGAATCTGGAGACACAGCCATACATTGTTTTCATTACGTCTATATTAAATGCATCTCTGGCAATCGTTATGAGAGATCATGCATTTTGTATTTTGTCACAGCTTTTGCCAAGAAGTGATAAAGATGCTACGTGATTTTTATTTGAAATTAACAATAATCTTCCGAGTATGCAATCTAATGCTAATGATACATAATATTCATTTTGTGAATTATAACCAGTAAAAAAGTCAAATTCTGTTTATTTGCCATTCTATATAACACAAAATTTTAATTGCTTCAAGAGTCGTGTTCTAAATATTACGACATTCCCGGAAGTAATAGAAATAATGTTACGAATATATAGGAAATAAGTGGTTTGATTCACTAAATACGGGAACATAAATTGTCCATAGTTTTAAGTAAATTCGACATGTGACTGTATATGCAAGAGGTTATGGTCTCGAAGTTTGGCACTTTTTATGACCATTTTGCAAAAATTAATGAAGTTTGTCAACCTGCGTGTAATGTGTGTATCGGAAAATATAGTCATATCGCGCGATCCGGATATCGCGAGTTACCTGCCAAGATGCTAGTATATATAAAAATTTTTAGAATCTAGTCGATATGTCTGTACGCGTATATATTACGTAATTGTAATCACGGATAAATAAAAAAATGTGTTACGCACGCGAATATATAAACCGACGCGCTATTTTCTTTATAGTAACCAGCCATGTCAAACTCAAACGAAAAATTACCATACGTACCCTGGTCGTGCAGGTAAGTACTGACTCGATTTCAGTAAGAAATCTAAAACATTAATTACATTTTCTTTGAAAAAACCTTAATTCCGAGCACTGGTCATATATAGATTTTTTGAGACTAAACCGTGCCGTCATCATCGACGCACTACCCTTTTCAGAAGATTGGTGTGGCCTTGATGGTGCATTGTCTAGAAGATTTCTGTGGGAGGTGAATACATTAAACTAAAATTAAATGACGCCACAGAGGAGATGGTAATTTCGTTCTAATTTAATTAACGGAAAGGGAGCTTCGGATTCGTTATCTACCGGATCTGGAGTATCAGTAATCTTCCTGGCCCAAGTGTTGGTGGTGGTAGCTTTAGATTCGTTATCTACCGGATCTAGAGTATCAGCAATCTTTCTGGACCCCATCTTCGCGACCCGTTTTACTTTATTTCTGTTTTAATCATTGAGGAAACTAATATGTAACCTTATAACTATTTACTCTACTTCTGAAAAGGTGAATTTGGAACATGTCAACCCACTTTGCGTCATTTTTGGAATGAGGTGATAGGAGATAGGAAACGGGTAAGCTATGATTAAATACCAGCGATGTCAATGCATCCTTCTGAAAGAAGTGCCTATTCATAATAGTTAGAGCTAAAGAACACCCTCGATACGGAAAGTCTTGAAATGTTGAGTGAAGTGAGTAAATTTCAATTACAAAAAGTCATCGCTGATTACCAGGACAAAATCCTGAAATTAATGTGTGATAAATGCCCTCATGAAGGCAAGCACAGAATTCAACCCATAAATAATATTTGATTATCTCAAAACCTTTTGGTTGTGCATGCAGATCAAAATTACTGGCAGGATAGAAGACACAGATTATTATTTAGAAGATGCGGAAGTGATTGATTTGGATTTAAAAGAAATTGATAATCTTTCTTAGGTATTATTTCTTTCTTACATTCATTTTGCATTAATTTATGTTTACATCTTATAGTATCCAAAAAAATCTTAATGACATCAATACATCTTAATGGAATTATAGATTTCTTTGAAGATGAAATGCATAAGATAAAAAGTTCTTTGATGAGAATCAAATTATTTGACTTGAGGAAGTTTTATGGAGAAAGACTTAAAATCCAATTCCTGAATTTATACAGTACATTGGTTAATTTATCAAAGATAAATGCATATGAGCTAAGATTCCAATTGTTGTTTACAAGTCCTATATCATCAGATAATTTGATTCTTATTATTATAAAGCACATAATATTTTTCAGCAAATATTAATACATTTGTAAATATTTTTTATATTAATTAATTTTTCATATTTTTTTATTATATTATTATTCATTTTTATGCTGTAAATAGTCTTATCTGCCTTAAAACACTATCAAGAATTGAATCCAATAGCTTTGATCTTGAAAAACCATATGCAATAGATACTATTGTATATATTTTAAATTATTTGTTCAAAATAAATTAGAATGTATTAGATATTGGATAATAATTATCAATTTTAAAATTTAAAATATTTAACAGTTTACTTGTTAACTTTTTATTTAGTTTACTTAAATCAAGCTAACTATTCTTAACAAAAAAAACACAAAATTGATGAACCTTATAAAATTATTAAAACAATACAAAAAAATTAAGCCATAATTATTGTTAGGTTTTTACTTGTTAAAAAAATTTTTTTTAACAAAAAATAATAACAATTAAATCAAACTATATCAAAATTCAATATATATTTTAAATAAGTTACTAAAAAATATATTTAAAAAAAAAATACATATTTATCTAATACAAGCTATCAATAAGTATTATAATTGTAATCTATGTTTTTTCTGCAAACAGTTATATTATTATTACCAAGTATTTAATTTATCCTTTATTATTCATATATATTTTACAATAATTTATAAGTATCAAAGTACTTGTATCTTTTGATAATTTTGAATAATTTACAAAAAATATAATTAATTTGATAAATTAATAAATAAGAAAAAATATATATTTGTATTAAAATATCAATAGTATTTTATTTTTATTGTTACAAGTTAATATCTTATATAGAATAAAAGTAATAAATAAATTTATAATTAAAAATAACTATAATTATATAACTCAAATAAATAATATATTGTATATAAAATATTTTAAACTAAATAAAATTTAATATTATAAAATCTTTAAAAGATATAAGAATTATAATAAAATTAGTAAAAAAACAAACCAAATATAAGTAGAAAGATTCAGATAAAAAAATAAAAAAGAAATTTAATAAATAATTATTAATAAATAATTAATTCAAATTATATATATATGTATTTATATTTTTTAATAAGTTTAATAATTATTAGTTAAAATTTGCTAAATAATATTATAAATGTAATTTTTTTATTGAAAATATATAATATCTATTTTTTATTAATTAATGTTATAATTTTATTATTAATAAATTTTAATTGCTAAATGTTTTTTAATTTAAAATATTTTTATTACTAAATGATTTTTTTATTAAATAATTTTTTTATTATCAAATAATTTTTATTTTTAAATAATATTTTTTTTGTTAATTATTATATTTTTATTATAAATTTTTTATATATTTTTAAGTATCAAATAATATGAATTTCTATAAATAAAT